ACTCGCGTTAGCGCATCTGTTTTTTTTTAGCTGTCCGCATGGAAGCGACATCGATCTGAGCTATTCTCGTTACAACATATGGGGCGCAGGAAAAAACGCCTTTTCCTCGTTCCAATAGCGGCACAATTAACCTACCGCCCGGCTGCACTCATTGCCACACGTTGACCTTACGTAATTGTTTCGTAATAGCACGTAACGAAGCTATAGACAAGCGAACGCAGCATCGAGAGCATCGACGCGGCGTGGAATAATATCGGAATGAAATATTTGTGCGTCCAGAGAGGCGTGCGCGCGGTTGTCGATGGTTTGCGGCAATCGCCAAATTTTCACATGGTATTGGAGGATTGCATGTAGGATTAAAAAAAGAATGTTTGTCGATACTGTTAAATGCTCACTACATGGTTCAGATTTCCCAATGTTTATACAAGTAGAGTGGAATTCAATTTTTCTTCAAAATCTAATCGACAATATTTATAAAATATCCAATAAGTAAGAAATCTCTCTTTTTACGTTTAATTTTTCATGTTGGATTAATTCGCTAATTATAGATCTGTGTAGATTGATAGCGCGATAAACTACTTAGTACAATAATTGAATTTTTATATTTTTACATTGACCACAGATTCTTAAATATATAATTAGATAGCTTTAAATCGTTAAATATGTTACTGTATAAAATAGGTTACTTTAGAATATATCGGATAGACAATAGATAGATAAAAACAATCAAATTCCGAAATAATAGAATAATTCCATTAGAATCCCGACTATAGCTTGAAACATCGTTTTTATATAAATAATATTAATTCTCTACAATTTAACGCAGTTTCAATTAATATCATATCTAACGCGTAAAAAATTGCACGATATAGAATACGTTATTTCATATATAAATTTACCAATCTCTGTTATAATTTTCCGCAGTTCAATTTTTCTGTAACAATTAAAGAGAGATTTAAAACATTTCATTTGATACAAAAATATTACTGTACTTAACGTGTAAATAATACATGAATATTTATTGGCATTCATAAAGATTTGAAATCGTAAAATAAATCGTAAAATAAATCGTAAAATAAATAATCATGCTACTTTCCAGTGAAGATGGCATCAATATTCTTATCTTTTCAAAATAATCTGATTCGAATAAAAACCTGCCTTGTTTATGAAATATCCGCCGTTGCTCACGAATAGTGATAACTTTGTTAGATCGCAGATAGCTTAACGGAAACCATTTCAGTAAAGTCTCGTTCGCAGTAACAAAAGAGCAACGCGTTCGCGTGTATCGCGTCGTCGTGGAGCATTAGAAAGCATCGGCAGATACGTGTTCCTGACGCAGGCGCAATTAAGCCTCATCCGGGTGCAATGCATGCAGATATTGCGCCGGTTACCGCCTCGATTGCGGAGCAATTACCACGGTACTCGTTACACGCTCGACAAACAGGCATGACGCTTCCTCTACTAGCAGTTCCGTCTCTCTACTCCTAACGCGAGTTCTCGCGCGAGTGCGAAATTCGCGGCGCGTGTCGAAACTTCCGACCCGCCCCGGCGACGATAAGACGTTCCGCTGCAAACGGAATTACTTGTACAATGGTGTACCGCAACATAAATGGAAATGATTCCCCTTCGGTTTACATTCAGAAACTGCCTCTATCACATATATGACAAATTAAAAATTGATTAAAGATTAATTGTCTTTTTGATGCATAAAGATTCAACTTAACGTACTTTACAAAAATTTGATGAAAAAATTGAAAATTTGATGTGATAAAAATAAATATAATTGTAAATTTAACAAAATACAAAGTTATTGTTCATTTTAATTAAAATCATTGCAATTCTCAGTTGCAATTATACAGCTGGCTTTCATAATAATTTATCAATAAACATCGTTAATTAAATATAATAAAAATAGTCAAAAAAAATTGTAATCTTAATACCTTTTTCTCTTTAACATACATAAAAACCTAACTATTTCTCAACTTTACGTGAAATATCGCCGAATAAATCGGCAATTTGCAAGCAACGCGTAGTCAAGAAGACATACTTGATGAGAATGAGATTGGCATATCACTTTCCATAAAAAGCTTATTTAAGTCTCTCAACTGATCGTCTACAGCTTTATTACTGGTGATACTCTGCGGAAGACAATAACCGTTGCTGCGGGATAATCCCCGCGAGGACGAAAGAGAGGGAGAGGGGAGAAAGAGAGAGAGAGAGAGAAGAGAGAGAGAGAGAGAGAGAAGAGAGAGAGAGAGAGAGAGAGAGAGAGAGAGAGAGAGAGAGAGAGAGAGAGAGAGAGAGAGAGAGAGAGAGAGAGAGAGAGAGAGAGAGAGAGAGAGAGAGAGAGAGAGAGAGAGAATAATATCGAGGAAATCGCACGACCCAAGCTAGCCGCAAACAACGCAGAAGCTGAAGTAATGACGGGTTACTGACAAACGATACCACAGCGGCAATTATACCAACGGGCTCTGCGGCTCGATATTCAGCAGAATGCCTGCAAAACCGTTGTGACGCGGGCGTCCATCGATATTAATTGATAAAACGAATTCCGAATTACTCCCGCGGCGTCCGATGATATTTTACAACTCGTGAAAATCTAGCCAGACGAAGTATGACAGCGGACAGCTCGATCGCGATCGCCCGTTTCGCATGGAACAAAATGGTTTTGTCAGTTTTGTTAAAATCAATATATACAGGGAATACATCCCAAAACCCACAATACTTTAATTTTACTGGCAGAATCTTCGAACACTTTACGGATAAAATTACGATACACAAGTTTGATATATATGTAAACGTACACATTTCCAGCTGCATAATTTTGTAAAACGGCGAAGTTCCACTACTCTCGCCGATAATGCGTGACGCACAGATTCGAGGCTCAAAAACGATTCAGGCTAATTTCCAATCGCGTAAAGACCGCCGAAGCGGAAGAACGGTCGTTCGTTAAAACGACGAAACTGCAAAGTTCGTTTCCAGGCGGTGGCGCTCGGCAATTTGCCCCTCGCTGTAATCGCGACGGGCATTCGCGCGTTACCGTGTGCCCGATAACGCTAACGAGATTGCCATAGATTCACGCACGTTGTGCCTAAGCAAATTGGCGGGCAAACGTTTGGTGAGACCCATCGACAAATCAGCCGGTTCAATTGCGGCATACGTAGGAATCTGACGTTCCGAACGACAAATAATCAAAACAATAAAAACATTCACAAAAATACAGAAGCGTGAAAATGGACAACACAATATTAGAACACGATATTAAAAGAATTTAATCAACCGGGAGTACAAAAAACATTAAAAAAGGAAATTGAATAATTGCAAAATTAAATTACAGGTGAGAATTGTATCACAGTAACGTTGCGATATCAGTTACTCGAACAAGATTGATACAAGATGATTAAAGTAAAGTTGCATTTGAGGGAACGTTGCAAACATTTACCCTAACCGAAAATGATTGATCCAGTCAGCTTCGATTGTAAACTAAGGATTGAAACAGAGACCACAGACTGTTCCAGCTAAGGTCACACAGAATGGGGTTTACGTGTCAAAGGGCTATAGCGTTGTATAAAGGGATAGAGAGTGACAACCATATTTCCTGTAACCTCAAATCGATAGGACTGCGCGCTATTATACCGTGGCATATTTAACAGATTGCATTGCAAAATTTAATCGTAAATAAACATAATTAAAAAATTTAGTTGTGGGAGTTTCAATCATACGAAAGCGTAATGGCTAACAGACACTTGGCGTCATAAAACTTTTTCTCATGATTAAACACATATTCAGAATACATGCACTAAAGAATAGTCGGATAAAATTAATTTTTCAATATATAAAATATTTTTGTCACAGTTTCTTCTTCATTAATAAAGTTTTCGAACATTATCACTTTTACTCTCTAAATCTAAAAAGTGGTTTACAACTTAAGCTGAATATTATAATAAAAAAATATAAAAAAATTTTTTTATAAAATAAAGCTGCAATAAATTGCTTTGATTAATAACTTTACAATAATAAAAAACTGATTTAAAAAAGTATAATTATATTATTCTGTATGAAAGTATAGATATATAACTCTTGATTAATGTTTATCGATGACATATTATTTATCATAATTGCATCTATCCTGATCGCCTCTTTATAATTCACTCTATCTTGTGCATACATACTTGTAAAGACATTTACGTTTGTGCGAAAACCGACGTAATACAGCACTATAGCCACACAGGTGAGTATCCGCGCATTCCTGCGGCGGCAACGACGTAACCGGATTATGTGGCATGCATAGGTGAATTAGCAGGTAAATGTTCGGTAAATTCGTTTGTTGGCCGATCGATATGTCGTGGTATCGGTATCCAGCAAATTCGATTGCCCGAATAGCGACCGAGATGCCCGACCAAGTGAGATAGCAGTACCATAAATAGCATTACTGTGTCCTAATTTTAGTCAAGAAATACAATTCGACGAATGCGATTAAATCGAGCGTGTTCAAAACTTTCAAGTAATTTGTAATAAATTTAATAATTTTGTAAGCTTTCCTCTCACTTTAATAGTCATTTTTTTATAATTTGATATATTATACATTATTTATAATTTATTATTTCTTGATATATTATTAACAAAATTGCAATTCTCTATGAAAAATTTTCCACAAAAATTATTATTTAGTTTAAAAAAATTTGTAAATTCTATTTATCAATAAATAATATATTTATATTTTAACCAGATTAAAAATTATTTATCTCGTTTAAATAACATTTATCTCACTCAGCTTTATTCGAGATAAAGTGGAGCAACGTCATGTGCATTTTCTTCACAGGCACGCGGCAGACAGACATAAGAAATAAGAAATGATCAGGCACAAAGCGTTTTAACGCTAGCACTGTTCAAAGTTACGATGAAGCTCACGTACTACTTGAATGCGTTCTCTCACTCGTCCGTACATCAAAAGTTCGACCTCGAAGATCCATTAAACTTTATCTCGCTACTTGACTCACCGTTTCACAAAGTTAGCTAAAGAAATTCCGCCGAGGGTCCCTCACTTTTTTCCGCCTTCTTCGTCCTTGGCTCAGCGCACCGTGTAACACATGAGACTGCTTCGCACCTGCAGCACGTCCACTAGCGCACTATGTATACCCTGCGAGACCGACAGAAAAAATAATCTTGTGAAACAGTCGGACTTCGCGAGCACCAGATATTCGCGGCCAACTTTAATTGACGAACTTGTTTTACAATATCGATCTTTACGGCTTGCCACGATTCCGACAGATCGAGTAGTAGCGCACCACAATACCGGTTTCGTGAAAGTGGATTGTGCACGTGGAAGTGAAATTACTACTACGTCAAAAAGAAGAAGGTTTGACATTTAATGCAAGTTACCGGAAAACGAATCTTGATACAAATTTGAAAAATGATCTTCGTCAACGGAAACGAGTCGTTTTAAAATGAATAATTACTTTGCTGCTTTCTAATTTTATGATATCGTGAATAAGATATTTCAGGCCCAAGTTTTTGAAAGAGAAATTTCTTTATTCAATGGTTAAATATAAATATTTAACCATTGAATGAAGAAATTTCTCTTTCAAGAACTATTTAACGCAGTCGTATTTAACTTTAAAATTTTTTTGTATTTTAATTTGTTGATATTTGCATGAAGCAAATTTTCCATAAAATTTGGATACTGCTCCAAATTTGTTCCACGGCAAATAATCGTAGTTTAATTTAATATTAAAAATTTATAATTTGCTCCAATTTGTATTTTTCTCTTTCAATAAATCGAACTTTCATCGGACACACATCGAGAAAAATATCTTTCTATACGATCATCACGTTCTGTTGCTTAGCGACAATGATAACACGTAGGCAATCCCTAATTCCGACGCACACACGTACAGTAACACGATCCAATATACAGCGATCGATCATCTACAGCCAATCAAACCCTATGTATAACCCGGGCGCGGCCAAACAAATTATTTCCTCCCGATTAGCTCGACGATCGTTCGCGGTAGAATAGCGCGCAGCAAGCCTAATACACAGTCGGTCATCGAATTAAATTGCACGCTCACGCGATGTAACGTCGTTTTGTGGCTTTCGTACACACATCGCATTTACTTTCCGCTTGACCACCGCGGAGAAAGTATCAATGCAGTTATTGGAGCAATAATGCTTACGATGCAGCATTCATACATATACATGCATCGAAAATGATACTACATTGAATTTTATAGTTATTTACGATCGTTGTAGAACTGCACAGCAAATATAGAAGTTTATAATCACAAATACCTTAAATTTTGTATTCACGGTGTACTATTTGTATTTTTGTATCAGCATATAGAAGAAGATTTTCATTAAAATTTTAATTAGATGTCACTTTTTATATTTATGCAATTTTTCAAATATCATAAATGCTTATATTTTAATAATTATTAGATTAAATCCTAACTTAATTATTGCTCATATAAAACCTATCATTAGAATAAATTAAAAAGTAATTTCCTTATCCTTCAACAGTCTCTTTTCTTTTTCAACACTTATAATAACTATTGCTTCTAAACAATTAATTTCAAGCATACCAGAAAATTTTACTTTGTGCTGGACTTTAGAACAATCCGTGTAAAAATCTTTGAAGTTTTATTCGAACTTTCAAACAATTTTCCTAATTGAGCCATTTATACGCTGTTTCCCGCTTTATTGATACAGATATGACGATAAATGCAACCGATATTGAGACATTAATTTCAGAATTGTTACCAGGAGCAATCTGAGGCAGCTGTCATCAATTTCAATCCACGTGGTATCGATCAGACACGAGCGGTATTAAAGCCGGTGCGTGAAAATACCCGCAACGCGACTAAAACGACAAATGCGTTATTCGCACTAAAAAAAACCTCAGAAATGATCGTTCGCAATTTTACTTAAATCGATCGCGCTAAGCTCGGTATCGTACGAGTGTCTCTACGTATCCGATACTATTTATTACGACTCACACGCTTCCGTTCTCACGAGTATCAAGCGAGTTGTGTCCGTGCTAGCGAAAAAAAGCAAAAAAATAAAAGAAAAAAAAACAAGAAAGCGAGGAACCTGGCACGACGATTTGCCAGGTGACACGAACGATCCCCGGACGGACGATCCCCGAAGAGGTGTTCAGCCCTCTGTATCAGATGGAGGTCTACCGAGACACTGGCTACTTCTCTCGTTACCAGGACATTCGCCAAGTCTCTCGCAGGTTGAAACCAGAGGGACAGAGAGAAAGAATCTTCCCGCTCGTTTGCGCGCACAGTGAGTTCACTCGCTCTCACTCGCTCGCACTCGTACTTTTCATGATTTTCTCCTGTCTCCCCGCCGCGGATGCTCGTATTCAGGCGACCACGTGGGGAGAGTGAGAGGTCCCCGTGAATGATTTCGCGGGGGCTTGGCTCCGAATGGCCGCGGTATATGTTACGCGGTAGCGATCGAAGAAGTCGTCTTCCCGTGAGAAAAATGCTGTGTTGTTGACGGTGGCTAGATGGGATTGATGGTTAGCGACGAAATAGGAGGATCAAGAAATTGGCTCACGTTTCTTTGAATCAAGACAATATCGGGAAATCGAATATCTTCAATTCTGTTTTTGACATATATATGTATAGCCTCTTCACTAAAAAAAAATGCCTTTTTATAATAAATTACTTACCGAATCGTTGCTCTGCTGTCGCCCGATGCCTCCTAGGCCTCCTCCTCTTCTGAGCGATCCTTTGAAACACTCACACGCGTTCGCGGCACACGCATTGCTCGCGCACGTACCCGAATGTGAAAATCGCGCGACACTTTAAACGACACTCCCGACATTAAACGACACTCCCGACGCGCATTACGACGGAACAAATATATTTCGTAGCACAAATTACGCGCACAAGTTTATCTGCAAAATACAAATACATTTACATTACAATGATATCCGAAACAATACTATAGTTATATAAATTATACATAAATGAGCGCATAGGGACTTTAATATCAACTTAAAATCACTGCTATCAGGATATTGCATTTCCAAAGCAAAACAGTTACAACTATAAAATCACTATTTTTAATCAAAAAAGGATTATAAACTTTTCTCAATTGTCAATATTTTTAATAAAAAAATATGGTTAGCTTTACTGCTGAATATCATTTTAATTTTTGCAAAATTTCTGCAAAGATAACTCCTAGCATCTGTGACCTTTTCAAGTTATCAATATTTAAATAATTTTCAAGTTATCAATATTTAAATAATGCATCAAGAAACTCTCAGGAATATTATGATTGTAATCATTGATCTTTAGTCACGGTAGCGTTCGTCGCAAATATGAACCAGAATGCAAAAGCGCATCTTTCATAACTTTCAAGAGGCTGATGAGTCGTTCATCATCGAACCGATGCAGATTAATAAAACGTGCAATCTCGACCGACCTTTATCACTCGCGCAATACCGCAATGTAAGGAAGAGTGGATTTCTTCGAAATACTACATTCCTGGTTCATCGCGACCGCGGACTTTGTACCTTCACTGAAACTTTGTAACGTAACAACAAACGATCTTCGCCTTCAGCCATAAAATATCGGCTATGTGTAAACTACAATGCGCACGCTGTCGATTTCGCTGACCTAAAGCAACCTTTCATCTTGTTATTATAGTCTCTGCGAATGCCATTATTCAGACTTTTCAAATATATTGTAATTAATATGTCAATAAATAAATAAATTTGATTTGTAGACTTAATAAAAATTTAAAGTAATATCTTTCTAAAGTAATTTTATGAATCAATCTAAATAAAATTTTTTCCTCATTCTCACTCTTTTCTTTCCTGCTATATGCTGACTAACTAACGATTATAAATCAATCAAGCCTGTTCTACTGGCGTGACCTACTGGCCGAACTACAAATTAGAAATCTACCACAGAATTATCGGCAAGCAAGTGAAAATTTGCACATCCAGAACTTCCTATTCGACCTCTCTTCTTCTTGTTACATCGAAATACCAAGATGATGTTACAAATGTTACATGCATGATATTGCGAAACTTGTTACGAGCACTCGGAGATATCTCCTTATTCTTATCAAACATTGTAAATTTACCGCATTAAAATCAATTCATACGGGAAATAGCGTCGTAATATTTTCACCGTAAAATCTTATGAATCATTCCAGAATATTGAAATTTCAGGTACTACATTCGATCTACACAAATTCAATATGTTGACGATGTAGCTCACTAACAGGCCCATGAAGTGAAACTACTCCAACCGTTGGCGCCTCGTTGGGTTAATTGTTGCAGTAGCTTTGTAATTTGTAGTTCCGGTTGTGGTTAGCGATACGTCATGCAGTGGCTAGTGACAATTTGCAGCGTTATTGCCATAGATATAGATGGAGATGATATTAAATCTTTAATAAGACTATTCAATAGATTAAAAATGGTTGGTACTAACTTTCATATTTATAATATTAAATAATATCTAAGATATATTCGGTGTTTCTAAATATAATTGTTAAAAAAATAATTTCACACAAAAAAGATTCACAAAATTACGACGTCACTATTCACAAATCATGCTATCACACAGAATTAAAGGAGATGCAAATGAGAGGAAACCGACATAAATTATTTACAAACTTAGCCTACCTAAGTTTAGAACTAGCACACAGATTGCAACTTCAGTTTCAGAGAAGAAAGAATAGGAGGAATTCAATGTTAACACCCTACTTCGCGACTTCAGCGTCGGCGCTACCCGAATAATAAGTACGCCCTTCTACAGCTTTCAATTTACAGAAATCAATGAAAAGCGTCGACGGCGAGGGAAACCTTTAGATTGTCTCGAGGAACTCTGCATCGAATAAATTAAACAAATCGAAAAACTAACTTCAACAAAGAGTGCTTCACAATTCGGAAATTACGAACAACCTCGTAAATAACGAAGGCAATAATTTCGTCGCCGCAATATAATCGTTTGCTTCTAGCAACGAGGAAGTTTCCAATAATTGACAAAGACGATAATCGCGCGCAATAAAGGTAGAAAGTCACAGACAATGGTACTATTCATACAATACTTATGTAATATTCGTCGTTAGCAATTGATTATTGAAATTGCAATTATACAAACTTGAACATTCGATGAATACAGATTACTTTATTTTGGTTATAATATTTTATCTAATAAATAATTCATGAAGTTGTAATTATTCTTTCAAAAAAAATAAAAAAAATACATTTATATTATTGTAACGGCCAAGATGAATCTGACGAATACATAATTTCTACCTCAATGGACCAAAATGTAATATCTGTAACCAGTGGAAAAATTTCTAAAAATGTTTCGACACGAAACAAATTTATTTTTCCACGAAAAACATTTTATTACGATTTTTTCGCTCATAAAATCTTCAATTATCGTGTTCCGCCCTTCATTAAGCTCTCATACCGCAAACTGTCGAGTATGTATGTAACTTCCAGATTTTTTTTCGCTCCAATTTTATCAATGGTTGCCATGCGCGTTGCCATTTTAATGAATGCTTTCTTTCTATTTGATTATATTTTATAAATTTAATTACAAACAACTTTTAAAAAAAAACGAGCTGCTTTAATTAGAACCATTTCTTATATAAGCGTTTCAAAATCATTTTGTTAATATCACAGAAGAGTCTTGATAAAGAGTATTTTTATGTAACAAAATTATCTCATATATTACAGAGTAAACAACAGAGTACCGATTTATGTAATATCGATATACGTCAATACATGAATTTTGCGTGAATTTTGCGTGAATTAAATAATGGCATGTACGAGACGCGTTGCAAATTAGAATCAAATTTCCTAGAACATACGCGACGACTGTGATGAGTGTGTAATCGAATAATTGATGAGTTAATCGTGTTACAGACAGCAATTCTGACAGTCTGATAAAATTTTCTCTTGATCGTTTGTTCCGTTACACATCAATTTAATTAAAATGATTGCATTAAATATAAAATTAATCCAATCATTTATCTCATCTAATTTGCACAATCTTCTTCTAATATATTTGATAAAAATTATTCTATATTTGATGATCTAACCTGACCACCTGTAATACATGCAAATTCAATATATATATATATTTAAAAATCTAATTTTTTCTCGCATTTCTCTTTGTCAAGAAATTTACATTGTTGTACATTTCATGAAATGCTACTTCATTATTCAAAATCCATGCTTTGTCTTGCATTGCAGTTTTCATTCGTCCTCGTAAACCGGAGGCGCGGGTGTCGAGTTTTCTGCAAATTTGCGCAACACGAACGCAATTGCGCGCAACAACGGCGCATCGATGTGCCGCCTCTCGCCTACGCGTTGGAATACCGACTAGCTCAGTAATGGAATAAATAAGTAAGCGGAAGACTGTGTCTTCATGGCAATCTGGCATTTTAATTTCCCCGCGAGATATTTCATTTTGCCGCTTGTTTTTCCCTCTTTCTCACTCTTCGCGTTGCGCATTCATTTCTCTCGTAACTCGCAATTGTTCTTTTTTATTCTGTGACTTTTATATCGCGTTCGGACTTCGTAAGAATTATTATTAGTCGGACGTGTAGACCCTTTTTGCATTAAATGCACATTAAATGTATCGTAATTTGCATAAAAGTCTAAGAACGTTTATATAAAATAGATTGACTTTATCTGAAGCTGTTTAATTTACCTTTCAAAAAGTTTGATTTATCTTTTTTTAACAGTTCCATTTTTATCTCATTACCTCGCAGACAATTTCATACAATAGTACGGATTCAGGCAATTGTTGGAAATTTAATTTTCTGCTCTATTATCCGTACAAATAATAAAAATAAAGAAAATAAAATGATATTAACAATTTAAAACAATCCATGTATGTTATCTTTTATAAAAAAGGTTTATAAAAAAGTAATGTATTAAATAATTATATAATATTCTAATACTCTTCGTTTAAAATTTAACACGTAATATGTAATTATAATTATAATTTAACGTTATATTTGTATATGTATTACTTTTTTAGTACATCTCTTGCATCTTTTTTGAACGACAGAGTAAATAATGTACATTTGCAACAAAAAAATCCATTAATATTTTTTCAAAATATTATATATCAAAACACACATATAATTCTATAAATTTTACAGTAGCACAGAAAGATTTAACATATTCTTCTATCATTTATTAAAATAATATTTTTCAAGAGTCATGTAGAAATGATCCATAATGCTTTTCTAGTGATCCTATTTCCAAAAAAACTCTCCTTATTGACGTCGAACCCTGCTCCGCAGGAATAATTGGTGAACCTTTTTAAAGACCGGTCAGAAGATATTGAAAGACGAAGAAGACCACAAAGAAAACGAGCTAAGACAACTTATTCAAATTTCGCCTGACTCTTTAGCAGTTCATAATGACTCAACGATGTCAATAAGCTTTTTGTTCAAGATTCTGCATGGCTATAATTTTACAGTGTGCAGCGACAGAAAAGTGCGTTTTTATCACATATTTTTATCATAATATCATTCTATGTTATCGTATGGGAACTACAAATATCAGGTGATACTAACGCACGATGGAGGTACCTAGAACGAGTCTTGCATGGCGAATATTCGGAAAGTGTTTTTGCAAATCACTAAAGTAGACATTGAATTCTATGTCACGACACGGCTATGTGCTCGCTCACCATTTCCCACTCTACAAACGCTCTTATCCTCCCTCGAGATGTCATCCATTCCTCCCTTTTATGCGCAACATTCTCGTTTTCGAGGATAGCTCCAACATTTCTGTCTACCATCTCAACCGTTTTCCTGTTTTTGCCAGACAGTAAACGGCTATCGCAGTAAGTGCAGAGGATGCGTCTTTTCTATTAGTTTGAAGGTATATTGCCATTAGGAAAATATTTCTTG